TATTGGGCCCAGTGGGACGGCTTGCTGATTCAGGATGGAGTCCTGTGCCGTAAATTGGTCGAGGAGACAGCTGTCGTTTGCAAATGGTTGTCCCTAAGGCTAAAGTGCCGAATGTTCTACAGCTGTGCCATAATGGTCGTTCAAGAGTCCATCTGGGAGTTAAACGAACTCTACTGAAGGTCCAAGAACAGTTTTACTGGGTCCATTATCGTGACGATGTCGAGGATTGGTGTCGTACATGTACAAGTTGTGTGGCCGTGAAGGGACCTCAGACACGTAGTAGAGGAGCATCGAAATTGTACAATGTTGGTGCACCATGGGATAGGACAGGCCCTTGACATTGCGGATCCGTTACAGAAAGGCGCAAGAGGGACTCCTAAGATCGTCCATGTGGATCGCCTGGCGCGTGATTATGGGCCGATAATGCTCGGGACGAGCATGTCTTAGGAGGGGGCAGTGTTACGCGCCTAAGTCGACGGCACTAGCGCCATCTAGTGTCAGAGATGAGAGCGAGGGGAGCTTTCCAGAAAATGACATCACTAATCTTTCAACCGACAGCGCCATCTGTTGTTGAAACGAAGAACTAAGCTTCTGGAAGCTGACTCTCGAACTTTCGGCGCTTTGTCGATTGGTGCGCGTATTTACTTGAATGTTCTGGATGATTCGGTACTAATGTGTATTTATAGGCGCTGCAAGGTGCGATCGGGGAAGTATTGAATTCGGCGAGGCAAGCGAAGCTTCGGAGCGGAATAAAGTGAATCGGTGTGATTAATTATTACTGTCTTTTAAGTTTTAATTGGTATTTGGTAATAAAAGTGTAAATTTTGGTAATTCAATCGGCAGTTTTTATTGTCACGAACCTCAAGCTCGTAACAATATCTTATCAGAGTTAGTAAAATGTTTTCATCTATCCGCCCTAATGGTATTAAGTTTCCTACGTTAGGCAACGTGGTTCCCGAATTCGATCCTATGATTAAAAGTCAAACAGTACGTATGTGATTGAATAAAGTGGACGAGTGTGTTAAGTTAAATAAATGGGGTGATTACCAAATCATACATTATGCTGTACCTAAGCTATCAGGAGTACGTAGAGTATGGTACAAGCGTTACCCACTATGTCATTCTCGTGGTCTGAATGAAACTAACTTATTTAAGTTAAATAAATGGGGTGATTACCAAATCATACATTATGCTGTACCTAAGCTATCAGGAGTACGTAGAGTATGGTACCAAGCGTTACCCACTATGTCATTCTCGTGGTCTGAATGAAAAACTAAACTTATTGAATCCTTTCCCAGTAGCGACGATTATGCCGAATTGTTGACCGAAATGCTGTCTAAACGAGTGAGGTATAACGCGTCCCTAGAGCTGTATTATTACGAAAAATTTAATTTACTAAACCGTTGCGAGATCAAAGGTAAACGTGCCGTTGATTGCATTCTTTATGGTACAGAAGATCGTTTGATTAAGTTGGGAGCTAAGGCTGCCAAATGCCAGGAGCCTGAACAAGTTTTAGAATATTTTCAGTCATTAAACCGCAACCGCGTGATAACGATAAGGGAAGGAGCGTTCAAGATAAAAAAACGGCTTCAATAATAATACCCCATTAACTAGTCAGAGGCAGTCGTGGGGTTGGATTTAGAATGTTTTGCAGGAATTTGGGGGAGTAAGGTGTTTTATTTGGTAGAGGTTTGTTCCCCGATTATAATTATACCACTCACATTAAAAGGTTTTTCAGTCATTAAACCGCAACCGCGTGATAACGATAAGGGAAGGAGCGTTCAAGATAAAAAAACGGCTTCAATAATAATACCCCATTAACTAGTCAGAGGCAGTCGTGGGGTTGGATTTAGAATCGTTTTGCAGGAATTTGGGGGAGTAAGGTGTTTTATTTGGTAGAGGTTTGTTCCCCGATTATAATTATACCACTCACATTAAAAGGTAATGGAGCGTTATCGAAAAATAAATAAAAACTATTATAACCTAAAATGCGTAAAGTATGAAAAATGATACATTTTTTATTATTAAACTGACTTTACGGCTCTGGGTTCTAGCCTTTCTGAGATAAAATTATACGATATTACTGTACAAAATGGATAGCGGTTACAAAAAAAAAATTTTAAAAAATTAATCCATCCCGCCATTTCCGCCCTTGTTTGCTTTTCTTGCGTGAATGTGTGTTCTCCAGTGTATTATTGTAGCTTTTATCGACGACTGTTGTCTCTTTTTTGGATACAGATTGCTTGCCTACACAACGAATTATCTACTTTTCTACCTCGGACACCGATTTTCTGCCTACTCAATTGACCTGTGCGCGCATTTGGATTTCGATTGCTTGCTTACACGACCTACTTGCTTATCTACACCGGACGCTACGCGTGTAACATTGAAAATGTCTGATTCGGAGGAACATCAACCATCTACGAGTTGCGGTTTCGACAGTGACGAACTGCCAGTGAAACGCCATTTATATGTCGAGGAGATGAAATCAATGTGGAATTTAGTTACTGTATACCGAAAACTTGGCACACGGGAACAAACTATTGCTTTTGCTGAGGAAAAAGGCATGATCCCAGCAACAAAAATATGTAGCTACCATAAAAAGAGTATGTGTGTAGAATACTACACCAATAGAACGGTGGGCTGATTTGTCTGCAACCGAGGCCCATGCAGATCTAAATCAAAAGTTAGCCGTGGCAAAGGCACTTGGTTCGATAATGTTAAATTAACAATGCCTCAAGTATTTTACTTAATGTATGCATATGCAAATAAGTGGAGTTATGACACGACTTTAAAAGAAGATTATTTTGAAAGGGAAAATTGTTTATCTAGAGCAACTGTTAATGATTGGTTCAACTACTGTCGAGAGGCTGTAGTCATCTATGAAATAGAGAAACAAAGTTTCCTGGGAAAAATTGGCGGTCCAGGAAAAATTGTACAAATAGATGAGAGTAAATTTGGAAAAAGGAAATATAATAAAGGTGAGTTATGGCTAAATGCATGCATATTATCGACTATATATAATTAACGACCTGGAGATGAAATAGGCTAATTTTTATCAATAAAATTTGAAATTAATACTTAATCTTGTTTTAGGTCGGCACATTGAAGGGTGCTGGGAATGATTGAAAATGATAGTGAAGATTAGAAGTTTGCCCCCAAAATGTGCGATCTTCTGAAGTTTTGATGCCCTTGATTAAAAAACATGTGGCTGAGGGCACCGTCATCCATATTGATTTTTGACGGGCTTATGATGGATTAGAAAATTATATGGGTACATACACAAAAAAGTAAATCATAGTGACCCTGAAAACCCTTTTGTGGCAGCAAACGGCACATACACTCAAAGAATTGAGTCGCAATGGTGTATCGTCAAAATATGTATATTTCGGCAAAGATTACTATAATAATAGAGAAAATTTTACCGACTTATATATGAATATTTATGGAGAAGAGAAATTGTAAAAAATAAAAGAGATCCTTTTGAGGAATTAATAAAAATAATAAATTATGTTTATAAACAATAAAGAAATGATAATTTTTAATTTTATTTCTAAATTGTTTAAAACTGTCTGGGCAGTTAATTAATTTAATACTTAAAAATCCAATAATACTTTCAGTTGTAATAGGTTAGATGGTTGTGGCGGGAGCAAAGGAAACCTAACTTTATAGATATCTGATTTGTACTAAAATTAAATCAGCACGCTCCGAATCCACGTAGTCTTGTCTGCCCTACCCCTAGTGTTTTTGTAAAGCCGTAGGCATGGAAGGAGAGCAGCCCCCGCCCGTCGTAGCAAATCGCAGACACCTGTGCGAGCCGTAGTGTGCTTATTATTATATTATATATTATGTTTATAATTAAAAGTAATTATAAAAGTTAACATTTTGGTGTTGTTAAGTGCAAGAGCGAGCGAAGCGAGCTGGGACTTGGGGCACCCCGACTCGGACAGGTTAGGTTAGATGGGGATGGCGGGGTCTTATGAGCGAGCGAAGCGAGTGAATAGACCCCACCATCCCGGTCGAGTGAATAGACCCCACCATTCCGCCCGACCGGGCTTCCCTCGACTGCGCTACGTGGTGCTTTCCTCCCTCAACTCTCTCCCCCCATAAATCAGGTTTATAGTCAAAAACATTACAAAAACATAACCTCATAATTAGATTTTTAAATATTTATAAAAAAAAACTAAGCAAGTCCGGTAGGAGGTGGAAGTGTGGGGCGACTCTACAACTCCCCCCGCCTCCTTCCTCACCACCTCCCACCCCCGAAATTCATTTTTTATTTATTTCCAAAAATAATAAAAAAAACTTCGAGGAAAACGTTTTATAGAGGCCGAGGAAGCAGTAGCTGCATTTCAAGGACGACATTTTAAGGATGAGTGGGCAAAGTGCTGTTCTCAGTGGTTCCATCGGATGCAGCGATGTATTGATGTAAATGGACACTATTTTGAAAAGATATAATAAAACTGATAACTTGCTAATTTGTTCAGTTTTTGATTTTCTAAGAACTTTTAGTGTCACCCTCGTAGAGAGGAGGGAGAAGCGACGGAGATAGAGTTGGAAGAATGTCTTAATTAGAAGACAAAATAAATAAAACATGTACGAAGAACAGGAAAACTCGAATTTCAAAACTTCAGATTTTCATCATCATCAGAGTGCCCGCGTGTGCCACAATGGTATATCATCACCCTTGCACTTTTTCGAATACCTTTTTGTCTATGACTCCGTCTCTTTCTTTCATTCCAAAATAAGGAATAAGACATATTACACTGTCTTACTCAGTGGGTCCGCAATGCCAAGCGTACACGGACATTAGTGTAATTTTAGGACGTAAATTTTTAATATTATTATTTTCTTTTAGTATTCTTTTTATTTCTAAATATTTTTCTTTGCGTTTATTGTAAAAACAAGTAAAATTATATCTTTCTTATTTATTTTACTTGTTTATCAAAATAGTTTACAACTTTTAGAAAAAAAATCAACTTTGTAATTTTCTTTTTCAGAAATCCATGTCAGTCACGGATAAAGACTTTGACGACATTCTCAACAAGTGGCTTAAAGAAAATGAAGCAGAAAATACTAATTTTGATGACGAAGAAGCAGTTAGAAGTGGTTCTGAGGCAGAACAAGAGAAGGAAATGGTACCAGAAATCATCCAACCTGATTAGGCTGAATATGTTGTTGAGGCGTTTACCTCTTCTGATGACGATATTATTCGGTCTAATATGAGGTCACGTAACGCTGGTGAGTTTTACACTTCCAATAACAACACAAAATGGAAAAAAAGACAAGCCGAAGACTTGACTATCCGCATACCTAGCGCTAGGGGCGCTGCACGTGAAGCTCAATCTCCTCTTCAATGCTTTGATGAATATATATTTACACTAATAGTAGAAATACCAACAAATATATTAAAGGTATCAGATCAAAGTTTGAAAGAGAACGGGATGTTAGATCTACCGACCTCCTCGAGATTCGAGCGTTTGTTGGAATGTTACTTATGATCAGCATTAGTAGAGGAGGCGGAAGAAATCTAAAAGACTTTTGGGACAATTCAAAGGGGAACGGGTTTTGAGTGTATTTATTGTACACTTTCCCTAAACAGATACAGATTTTTGCTTCGATGTTTGCGATTCAATGACAGCTCAACACGGAGTATTCGTCGTGAACAGGATAAATTGGCACCCATCAGAGACTTTGTTGAACATTTTGATGGTAACTGTCGCAAACATTATTTACCGTACGAATTTTTGACAGTAGATGAGCAATTAGTAGGATTTCGTGGACGATGTGGTTTCATTAATTATATTCCCATAAAACCAGATACATTTGGAATAAAAATATATATGTTAGCTGATACGAAATATCCTTATATATACAACTTCGAAATCTGTGCTGGAAAACAACCTGAAGAACCGTTCAACCTTTCCAATAAAGTAACAGATGTTACAAAAAGGCTCACATCACCAGTATTTGATTACAAATTTAACGTCAAAATAGATAACTACGTATTTTACAAATCTGAATACCAGTTTGGAATTGCTTTTTCATTTTTTGGCTTTCAAAAAGACCCAACCCTCGTAAGTTATGCTCCTAAACCTTCAGTCTGTTATACTTTTGTCCACAAAGCAGATTTTGCCGTGCGCTCTCGCCGAAAATAGACGTGTTGTTGTGAGTTAAAAGCTTTAAGTAAGATCAACTGATTTCATCTTTACGAGTGACTGTGTTAAGAGCTATAATTGACTGCGATCATATTTACAAAACAAGGGACTAAACAACTGTCTATAACTGATATCATTGTTCATGGTCTTGGAAACATATGGTATGTTTATTACCTTATTCGCAATTACTTCAAACTGTTGCAAAAATGTCGATACAACGCACACCACCAAAATTTTCGTCCAATCCGAATTTATCTGCGTCGGCGGAGGTAGATGATATTTTTGTCAATTCACGTAAGCATAAGCAACCTGAAGATGATGACATTACTTACCGAATGAAAATATTGGGAGATAAACTCGATAAATTTGATCAAAATATATTGGAGACTATAACCAAGTCCTTGCAATTAATTTTGGCAAGTGAATTGTCTAAGATAACAGTGTCATTGGCCACTCTAAATGACACTGTTCATGGCCTGCGCTCCGACAATGCAAGCTTCAAAGAATCCCTTAAGGGTATAAATAGCCGCCCGACGGACATGGAAAAATTACTTAATTATAGTAATACACGCCAGGACACCTTCCTCGAACAATTACAAACCTTACGAAATCAAATGCAGCCTGTCGGTGACCTACCTTGCCATTTAAAAAATCTTGAGAGCAAATTAGAATATAGGGAACAGCAAGCTCGAGACTGCAATATTGAAATCATTAACTTGCCCGACAGACGTAATGAGAACCTCACAAATATTGTAATGGGCATTGGTGCAGTCATCAAACAACAAATACTTGCGTCCGATATTGTAGCGGTTCACCGTGTACCTCACGCAGACCAAAAAGATACCCGACCTAAAAATGTTATTTAACAATCACATTTCCAGTTTACCACCCGGACACTAAGTGACAATATCATAGCTGCTAGTCGATCCAGTAAGGATCTCAATACTGAAAAGCTGAGAATATCTGGACCACCTCAAAAAATATTCATCAACGAGCATCTAACTTTAGCAAACAAGCACTTGTTTCGAGAATGTCGTAACAGAGCCAAATCACACGATTACAAGTTTGTATGGGTCAAACATGGTGTTATCCTTACACGCAAGACCGAAAATTCTCCAGTGCTGGCTATACGCTCGCAACAAGACCTCAATAAGACTACTCATTGGACAGGCTTTTCACAGGAATATATATATGTGGAATATTTGTAATAGAGCACATAAGATATATGAGTTTGTTATCCGCTCTAGTAACGATTTTAAACGGCCAAGTACATATATATATATATATATATATATATATATATATATATATATATATATATATATATATATATATATATATAAATCCTTAATACGCTCTCAAATTGAATATGCCATCTCAGTGTAAGTTTACAAAAAATACTCAGAACACCTTGAAAGAGTGCAAAAGAACTTCCTACGTTGCATGCATTTTAAATGTTATCATAGTGAATTGTCTTACTCAAAACTGTTACAACAATACAAATTATTTAATCTTAAAGCTAAAGGTTACAATTACAGGTTAAGCTATTGTACGATTTTTGCAATAATAAGTACGATCGTATTGATATAGTGGATAAGCTATGTTATAAAGTACCAATCAGATCACACACTCGAGCATGCCGTATATATAAATATTTTCCTACACCTAAGTCTCGAACGAATGCTGGAAAATTTTCACCATTGACACGTATGACTGAAGCTTATAACAGCTACTTCACTATCCTAGACGTATTTGGGACTTTAGAAATTCAGTTTTAAATCTGTTGCGTGAAGTCAACACCACGCAATATGCTCACATTTAATTTAATTAAATCTGTAGCTACCTTACTACTAACTAACTTTCAGCAAAAACAGGTAAATTTTTTGTATTATAATTCGTGGTTAACGGTGTTGGTTTCACAATTATTTTATTTTGATGTGTATTTATTATTTTAAACTTCTTATTGTGAAACTGTTTGTTGACCCAAATAAATGAAAAAAAGCATCACAATATTGCAATCGATGTTGACACCGGAGAAAAAAGAAAACCAGAAATTGTCACATTCTATAACCGTACTAAGTGCGGAGTGGATATTGTAGACAAAATGTGCAAGCAATATAGCGTTGCGAGAAATTCCCGGAGATAGCCACTTACAATATTCTTTGACGTGACAAACATTGGTGGGATAAATGTACTGATCATAAATCAGACCAACTCTATACCCTAAAAAATAGTCAGGAGAGAGTTTCTCATTTCTTTTAGAGTTTCTCTGCATTGGCATTTGACCTTATGAAACCATATATGTTATACAGAATGAGTATGACACAGATTCCAAAGAGTATTCGTACAAGGATAAGACTACTTTTGAACATCCCAGAAGATCCAATCATTCCTGAAACTGATAAGTGGATGAGTGGAGCATTGTTACGTCTGTGGCAGATCCAAAAATAAGTCCAATATAAAATGGTGTAAACAATGTGATAAATGGACATGCAATGCTCATCTCGTTAATATATGCCTTAACTGCGATGGAGCAAATCGAAACAACTGATTGTTTTATATGATTTCCCTTTTTGATAATGAAAACTCTTCCCTTAGATTATATTTTCAAGATAATGATGTGTTCACATTGGATAAGGGTTTCCGGGATTCTATAAGAATGCTAGAAGGTTGTAATTATCGGCCATATATGCCTGATTCTCTATTAGAAGGCGAACACCAGTTAACAACACAGCAGGCCAACCGGAGTCGCTGTGTAACAATATGCCGCTGGGTAGTTAAGGCAGTAAATGGACATTTTAAAAGAGACTTTAAGCTCTAGAGGCAAGACTATTTTCACAAATCAGTGCCAAATATGATGCAGAACTTTCAGATAGCGGCCAGTTTACTTAACCGATTTGGTGTTCATCTTCGTGATAGAGATGATTCTAATGAAATAGTTGCAATAATTAGAGAGAGAATTAATTCTGAAAATAATTTAGCCCTACTGGTTGAGGAGCTAAATATTAATAGAAGGTCAACTGTTTTTCAAAGTATAACAGCTGACCGAGATAATTTATTTATGTTTCCTAGATTACATTATAGTGAATTAATACCATTTGCTCTAGGCACTTACCAGATAAGGCAAGCCAGATCATATTACGGGGAACATATTCGATTTCATGAATCATATAGAATAGAAATATGTAGTGATACACAAGATTTTTCTCAATATAATCTCAGAGGAAGTAGTGATAGAACATTAATAAGAAGAAAAATTAAGTCCAGGCACATTTCAAGAAACCAATATTTTGTCAACATTTTAATAGAAAATAATGTGTCTGGCAGAGCTGCTATAGTCGAATATTGTTGTATTGTTTGATCGGCCGACGAACCATTGGATGTTGCGCTCACGTTATGACGTTACTGTGGTACCTTGGATGGGCTAGGTATCAAGAAAATATTTCTGCTCCAGCAGAATTTCTGGATGACGTAGTGGTAAGAGATTTAAATGAAAATGGTGATAATTAATAAACCATTCAACTTTAACATAGTGTTTTATTTGTTCCTCCCATTTTGTTCATCAGGTATTTATGTTAGTATGTACCATAGGATAATGAAATGTGTTATGTGTCTGTAAATGAATCTTAACTTCGAGCGCTAATTATAAATTATAGCACATTTATTTCTTTATTACCTATTTGGTTACGGCAAATCCTAACCTATAAAGTGACATTAATATTTTTTGGGATTCGTAGCGTTTAAATCGTAAAAATGACTATATGACATTATTTTCTAAGCTTACATATGGTTTTTCCACTATATCTTATAATTATACATAAACTTTCACTTTCAGGTTTTTAAATGTATGGAAAGTGGGCATGATTCTTTGAAACTTAATCATAATAAAATGTGTTTTGTTATAAATAGATTTTTTAAATGTGTGTAAAAATGTATCTCTTTGTGTATAATATGTTGAATACGTGAGTGTGTGCAATAGGGCACGTAAGCTATATTAACTTGTTGTAAGTAATGCCTTAGTTTCTTCACAGTTTATCTGATGAAGAAGTTCAAATAATTTAATTTTGCATTTTTTATTTACGGAATAAATTTCAGTAATTTCATTGAAGTAATATGTACTTACGTACTAGAACAGCCATCTCAAACAAAAAATCTGCGCTACTCTGTATTCGCGCGGTTGTTTTTTTTATCATAGAATAAACATAGGTAGAAGGACCCGTAGGTAATAGTAGATTGTATTGTTAAATAGGTAAATTATATCGAGAACAATATTTAAATTTTGTCATTTTTTTATATATTACATGATATTACATCACAATTACATTTTAATGACATTTTTATCTGAATATTCTAAAAGGTATCTAAGTCAAATACAAAAAAAACATACTAAATGTATGTTTAACAAAACTTATTAACGTAACAAATATGTTTATTTAAATTAGAATAAAAGTCGTTCATAAGCGCTGGGGACGCGAGAGCTAAAAATGGACGAATTTATACCACTTTGACTTAGATGTGGAAACCTAAAAATAAAATAAAAGAAAAATAAGCAGATTTAAACATGAAAAATTTTGCCAAATTATAATAACTTATATATGTTTCTACAAAAAAATGTGTATAATAATATATTCGTCCAATACTTAAGTACCCACAGAAATGTCGCATCTGAACAAATTAATTTCATAATCTATATTCCATGACACGAGATGGCGTATTAGGAATAATTTGTTTTATTATTAATACATAATACTTTTTATTTATTAAATATCTTATTGACCGATGAAAAGTAATGCCTTGGTTTTTACTGACATTTCTTGAATTATTTGTGCAATATCTAAGTACACACGACGGCATATTTTTATCAAGAGATTTTTTTTAAATCAACACAACGCATGACAACTCTATAAGCGCCTAGCGAGTGACCAGGCTCGTCAATCTTAGAACAAATAATCGGGTAATTCAGAACATTGTAGTGCAGCAAAATCATGGAGTGCTTCAAGAACCTTTAGATGAAACGAAATGTTTTTATTTTTATTTAATCGTATTATATTAGTATAGTTGTACACTTCCAGTAATAGATGACAGCTTTTGAGCATTACGAAACGAGTTATTGTCATAGTTATACTACATTTTAACAGATGTCGCTAAAAGGTAGTGATTGCTGCCGGCATAAAGAATGTTGCTGAACTAATGATTTTCCCACAAAAACTGGCAGCTTAAATTTAATAAGAATATTTTATACATCTTTTTGGAAAGCATAAATTACAAATATCTCAATACATACATATATTGTTTAGAAGGTTTAAGTTGACTTCGAAAGAAATTTAAAGGTATTCTTTGATCTCAATGAAATTTTTAAGGAATAGTCAGTTAGACAGACAAATAGCAAGCATGGCAACACTACTCATAATGCATACAAAAACAAAATACAAATTACAAACATGTCCGCAGATGCCACCGCTTGCCTCGGTGTTATTTGTGTGATATTTTTGTGCATTCCAGTGCAGTGAGCACACCAGTTATTGTTTTTCCGTTGAGTTGAGCTTTTGTTCCTCCGGTTAATTCATATTACTGTGAACTCAAGTTACTGTGCATCGTTAGTTGTTTGAACTGAGACAGGACTCCTTGTGCAGTTTAGTTTTATTAGAGTCAGGTACCAATACGTATGAAATTGGAGACAATGTCATAGGACCGGAGGCGAAATAATAGGCGAAGAAAGAAAACTTGTTTATAGTGACGATATGATCCTGTCCGCTGTGTTGACCTTTATAGCCCCATTTACCACGGAATGCATGAGTGGTCTCCGTGATGGGGTTCCTGGTCCCCATTAGACCACGAAGACAGACGCTGAAGTGGATATGGGGAT